TAAAAATATTTACATAACATTCCATCTCCCTTTAAAACAAACTTTGTCCTCAAAGTTTGATTTATTGTGGTGGCCAACCCAATTCCTCGTCCTTGTAACAACCAATCTAATCCATGTTTTCACTACTAAGACAGTAGGTAGGTACTTCTTGGCAAAAGCAACTTCAAGGAAACAAAGCCCACATTTTGGGTTTAACAATTGGAAGAGAACTATTTCGATTCCAGCACGTGACTCCTTAGGAGCAACTTCCATTAAAGCCTTTCTAGCACGGGTGCCATTTTGATTCTTCAACCTTGATTCTATAACAGTGACTAATAAAATAATATCCTTACTTGATGCAACATTTGATTCTTTCTCATTAAAAATAAATATTTCTTCAGGGCTAAATGAGTGATGGTGTTGATCGGTAGTTAAATTTTCCTCTTGAAGAAATCTATGTGATCAACAATTTCAATCACTTGACCATGGATTGTTTGGTGCTAAGTCTAGGCAAGAATGAAGATAAATGCATCTCAAATGGTTGCCCTTTTGCTCCTGTGCTTGAGTAGACTTGAATCTCACTAGAACATGCGTCTTATCTTCCTGTTTTGTTGTGCTCAACTGTCACATGCTTATTGATCCCAATTTGGTTCGTCATCTTCTCCTTCATTTGAGTGGACACACCTTCATAGAGGATTTTTAGAACTTTGTAGAAGCTCACTTGCATGCGTTGACTTTGCTAAAGCATTCTCTTGCACCCTTCATGAAATTCATCACGCATTACCTTCAAAATTTCCGATGAGGTATCCATTAATAGGATCGTCGGCTTTGATACCAATTGTTACGTGTATACTTTTATAGAAAATATAAATAAAATTAAAAATAGAATCGGGAAAGAAAACCCGCTTCGAGGGGAGTGAAAGCCTCTAATGGCTCAATTCGAGAAGAATTTATCTTCAAAACTTCACAAGAAAGTTTAATGCAATATTCAACATTTTCATTTCATTGATAGGAATATCTTTAAATACAAGATAATAAAACTACCTTAATAACTAACTTGATCCATGACTCCATTATCTTAGTAACCACCTAGGAAACTACTCACAAAATACTCTACCACTAACCCACTTACTAAATATCTATCTAATAATTACCTCTCATACCACATAAAAATATGTGCATAACAGAATTACCCATTGGATGATTTCATGTTAGAGGATAAGACTGGGAGTCATTAGAAAACCCTATGAAAAGGATAGGGAGGAGTAGTGCAGGCATAAATAACTGGCTTGTTGGTACAAGTGAATACTCTAATGGTGCTAGGGGAGGTTTTTTGATTCGGTGTTGGTATGAGGTTTTGCATCAGTTTCTTTGCAGTTGAATCTAATTAAAGACAGAGTAGTAAACCAGTTAGCTCTGCTGCATTGAACCATTTAGGTGTGGCATACTCATTTGCACATCCTTCAGGACCTGTCAGAAAACTTGATGACTTTTTGGGTATTCTATGGTCGACAATTTAAACTTTGAAATTGAAAACCCTAGTGGCAAAAGGCAAATAACTTTCTAACAGAAGCTGTTAAGGTTTGTACAAGTTCCTTTGTGATCAACTATGATCTTACAAAAGATTTTTCCTGTTAAATCGATAGAGTTGAATCATATCTATTGATGTAATATTCAAGTTAATACCGATGCGAAACCTGCTCTTTTTACTACTTGGTTTAATTTTATTTTTTTTTAATTTTTTTCCTTGTCTGTGGAAAGGTTCTTGTTTTTTTCCCAATTTTCTTGGAATTGGAATGTTGCAAGATGAGTCATCACTTGGAGGACCTTACTTGGAGCTGTTGGTTGGTGAGAAAGCTGTACAACATCATGAATTTGTGTAGGATCCAGTTACAGTTAGTTTTAGGATAACATATCTATTTGCAACCTTTGGTAGGATTGACATTTTCCAAATCAAACTGTTAGGGTTTGGGAAATTCAAATCGAACTCTTAGAATGAATTATCTTCTTTTTTTTTTCGGTGGGTCTCTTAGAATGAATGTCATTTTCATGTTTATCATGCATGCAAAATAACAAATCAATTAGCGATCCATTGATAGTTTTTTAACTAAATATTTTTTTCAATGAAAATTAAGAGAAATATGAGTTCAATGGATCAAAATTTATCTGCATTTGATCAACTTGATTTTCTCATGCATGAAGAGCATAATGAGACTATGTAATACAATGGGTGTATTGATGATTAATAAAAGAAAAGGTGCTTTGGTGGGGGTTAAGAACTGTCATTTTTATGGTGTAAGTGGATCTTATTTGTTATGAATATATTGAATTAGAGGCACAATCTTCTTTGCCTTGCATGTTACTTTTGCAAGTATAGTCATATTGTCTCATAGCATCATGATTCTGGACACGTTTGTTGTTTATGATATTTAGCATCCTTAAATTTTGAATTCTAAACTTCCGTTAAATTTGTCAGCTGTCGACACTGTGGGATAAGTGAGAAATCTACTCCAATGATGCGCCGTGGACCTGAAGGACCCAGGACCCTTTGTAATGCTTGCGGACTTATGTGGGCAAACAAGGTGAATATGATGGAATTTTTGAAAATTTCTCATTTTTTATGAATCCACTACTTTTCAAGTAATTGATTAAAAAGAAAAAGAAATTTTACTGCTGAAACGGACATGCTAAATCTTATATTTTTCTAGAGCTATAATTTTCTGCTCCCCTACTGGAAATTTAAAGTTTTGTGCAATGTATGTACTTTGGGGCTTCTTTTTGTGACGATACCTTATTTATTTGACTCCGACCTTTTTCCCCTTTTACACGGGCTTTCCACCAAGTTAATTATTGTCCATATAAATATGTCAAACAGCTACGGAATGTTTCAATTTTGGAATTCGCTTTTGTGACTTGTGTTTTCTCTTTTTGTTTTTTTGGGTGTGTTAGTTGCGCGTGACTTCTGTTTTCTTACGTTTTCCTTTCAACCTTTTGTTGATCATATAGGGGACTTTAAGAGACCTCTCCAAGGCAGCGCTGCTTCCAGGACAAAACCCTTCCTCGAATCAGAACGAGGAGGTGGGAGAACTATGATCTCCTTTCTATAGCTGTAGTAGTTCTACCGTTTTTTTGTTGCTAGTTCTGCTTTATGTTTTTGTTTCTTCAGAATGGAAAATTCGTGACTGGGATAATGGGTCTTAGGGTTGCATGAGATTGTAACGATGCCATTAGATTTTGTTGTTCACTAATCTTGTTTTCTCTATCTTTTGCTAATAAAATCGTCTAAATTGTCATTACGAGATTTTGTTGAGTTGATTAGCATTGCAAAAACACAGGTAATTATGAATTTTTGACTCCGATATGTCGGTGAATTTTGGACCTTAGTATGTGTAGATTTGGGAAATTCAACGTGTCAGTAACGTTATTATTTTGAACATTAATGTTTGAGTAATTCTAGCCACACAATAATAATGATATTTTTCGAATTTATTTTTTTATTTAATATTCAAAATTTATTTACTATATCAACTTTTAAGTCTTTTGAGTGCTATTTTTAGTTGGGTGGGGGTTATTTTTATCCGTTTTTTCTATCTTATTTAATTCTTTTATTTTAAACTATTAAATTAACTCCATCTATATTCACATCATTAATAACTAAATTTATCGTATTTATATTTACTAATAAAAATTAAATTTATTAAATTTTATTTCAACTTACTATATTGTCAATGGTCAAAATTTTTTTTGGTGTATTATTTCGATACGAAAATATTTCAGAAACAAAATAAAAATTAATAAAAAATTGATAATTATTTTTAAAATATTAGTCGAAGTATACTAAAATATTTCAAAATAATATATATCATCTCCGACATTAAAATTTTGCTTTAATAACTATTTTTGTTTCAATTTTTTTGATATATATAATTAATAGTTTAATTGAATAGATATAAATGGGATAAATTTAGTAATTAATGGGGCGATTATAGATAAGGTGAGTTTAGAAGTTTGAAATAAGGGAATTAAACAGGCTAAAAAAAAAGGATTGAAAGGATGAAAATAACCTCACCTTTTTAAATTTTATGTTTGGGTCAGTTTAACGTTATCCTCTATACAGATATTTTCAGTTTTGTAAACAAGACTGTTTTAAGTGTGTTGATATTGACTTGATAACCATGTTCACTGAAAATGAGTGGGACCCGCCAATTTAATTATCCATTTGGTATTTTAATAATTTTTTTGATAAATAGAATATTACTTGCAATATAAATCTACTAGTTATAAAACTCCAATCAATCCATTTTATTTACGTTAATCAAGGTCAGACTAAGTTTTTTTGTCTACTGCGCTCGCCGTATTGCGCCGAGGGGGGGGGGGCGCTTTTCAATGCTACAAGCATGAAAATCACAATATTCACTTCATTGTCCTACTTACTGATCCCTTAATGGATTGTCGTCTCTTTTGTTCTTTCCCTTGTTAATTAGTGAGATCTTAAAAACTTCATACAATGAATGATCAATCATTCTATTTGTGTTTTCAGAAAGTAGACGACACGAATATAGGCTTTCTATGTTTTAATTGAATACCAATTACTCGGATGTCTTTGAAAGCCTTGAAATGACTTATAAAAATAATTATTTTTAGGTTTTTCGTTTTATATCTTCATAACGAAATAGTCCATTTATTGATGGGCGAACAACAGAGATTGAACCCGCTCATCGTAAATTTGCAATCCATTACCTTGATCCATTTAGCCACATCCACTCTTACCATGCACAAGTTTCAAAGTCTATCTATTAGGAATACTAAATAATTTATTTTTTTAATTGTAAAATTCTAATAAAAGACTTACTGAATTTTAATTTTAATTTTAATATAAAAAAGTTTCGAATATCAAAACGAACTTTTTATAAATTATAAATTAAACCGTGATTATAAATTATTTAACACCATCTAATTTTACCACATATTACTTTTCTCCCGTTCTATTTCCCTTCTAATTTTCTTTCCACTTGACCTGCAACGACTTTGAAATATCTTCTTAATATTCCCAAAGTCCACCCCAAATGTTTTAATTATTAAACATGTTTCTCTTGGATTTAATCCCAAGTTTTGTTCGATGAATTATTATTAGAGACTTGGTAAATCCGTCTTCGCCCTCAGCCTCTTTCTCTATGTTATCGTCTTCGTCTTCTCCATTTTTCTGATACACAGAGAAACTCACGCAATCGCTCGTCTAACGAGAGAGATCGCGTGCAGATCTTTCATTTCTATCTATTGATCTAATTTTTAATGCGAGATATGGATCGGTTTCAATTGTTTTTACAAGGATTTTCTGCTTCTGAATTTATGATACGCCACTTATAGGTTAAGATTTTTAGTGCTAAATGAATATTGAGAGAGAGAGAGTGGGAAGAGAGAGAATGGCGAGGAGCAGACCATCGTCGAATAGATGGAGGTATATAAATCCTGCTTATTACTTGAAGCGACCGAAACGTCTCGCATTACTATTCATAACCTTCGTCTGTATAACTTTATTAGTTTGGGATCGACAAACTCTTATCCGAGAGCACGAGGTATTCTTCTTCACTTTTTTTTTTTTGTTCGTTTCTTTCTATTTTTCTTTAATTACAATTTTCTTTTGTCAATTTATATCATTTTTTTTACTATTAGATCATTTTTTTTGGTGTAATTGTATCTCTTATTGAGAAAATTCGTCCCTTTTGTTGGTTTTGGGGGCTGTACTTTTGATTTTTTGGTGTGATATGCCTTGTGAAGTTATGGATTATTTGGTTAGCATAGATGATGGGCTTTTATTGCTTTGATAGCAACATTCATGCTCAGAAGATCTAAGAAAATTGTCCACAAAAGCCAAGTCAACTTTATTATGCACACCGTAGAGTTACTTTGCAACTTCGTTGGATATATTACCTTCCTCGGTGGCCCGTGCTTGGAAACAATTTTATTCTCTGGCTAATAAGGAAGCTATAATGTCAAAAAAACAAAAGCAAACTATTTTCAATCATTTCCTTATATGTTCTGTTCTGTGAAGAATGAAGAATGACACAGCATTTGTGGCACTAGGTGGAGCAAGCCGTTTGCTGCGAGTTATGCAAAACCTCAGATGGGATTTCTGGGAATGAATGTTACACTTAATGTTATTTTCATGTCAAATTGGATAGAAACGGTGGTACTATGGTCTGGATGATGTTGTCAGAGGATTCCCAACTCCTTTATTGTCCATTGTCTGGAGTGTGTGCTTCTTTATTCTTCCTTTATTATTAGAAAGAAGGCTTGGAGCCAAGTGAAAAGGGATCAGCAAGCTTAGATGCCTGGGAGAAAGAAAAGCAAAGATAAAAAGGAAGGAGAGAGAATGAGGCCCTTATCATCTCCCAGTATTATCAATACAATAAGTCATATAAAAAGCAAAAATACTTGTATCAACTTTAGTCAGCCTTCAATCTGGTAACTTCATAGTACACTTAGATGCTCTATACATGGCTACTGTCATGTGCATTTTGTCCATCTACTAACTGATGATTTTTCTCGCAATGAGCAACGAATGTTAAGTCCCTATATTTTTCGAAATGAAAGAGCCAAAGAAAATGATTTTCTAAAGTTTTTTGTTGAGATTTGTATGCTATTTCATATTTTTCAATGGGCAGAGGAGAGTTATTTGTCTTATTACCCCTATTTAGCAAACTTTGTAATGATTTGCAGGAGGAGGTGTCGAAGGTCAATGAAGAAGTGATTCGGTTGCAAAATCTGGTAAGAGATTCAAATTACTTATCAGCGGTCTCTTCACAAGTGTTATGCTGTTTCATTGATCTTGGGATATATCCTTTCCCCCTTCCTGGGTACCTGTGCTTACGTTTTATAACAGTTCCAAGTCGGTGAGAGGGAGTGCAGAATGAGATTGATTTTGCCCTATCCATTGTAATCCACCCCATCTACCTATTGTCTTTCTCTCATGGGATTGCAATTCTTATAATGAATCCTATGTGTTAAGCCTTCTTTATAGTGCTAAACTGCAACTGTGAGGTGTGTCCAATTTATTAGAAACTTCATGTGATCCTTTTTGCTTCTGGTGTGAATATGCAGCAGCATTTTCCTGATTTTGGTTAATGTTTCTGTCACATTCTGATAAATCTTGGTCCAAAATTCCATACAAGTTTACATTCAAATTTATAGAAATGTTGAATAGTTGAGTTGACCGAATAATATTCCCTATTAGAAGAGCTGAATGTTTTCTGTTTAAACTTATCATCACTTCTGTTAAAGTTGCCTGGTTTGCTTACTGTCTAGACCTTACAGGGAATTCATTTCGTCAGATATAAAGTGTTATTTTTATTTTTCATTTTTCAATAGCTGAACATTTGTGGACTGAATATCTAATTGGCACTCACAGCTAGAAGAGTTAAAGGGAGGTCAAGGAATTTCAGATGAAAAGAGGAGCTCTAGTGCCAAAAATAGTGGATTAACGAAAAGGAAGGACGTCCCGGATGATCCCATTGATGTTCAGCGGGGAGAGAGAGTGAAAGATGCTATGGCTCATGCGTGGAGCTCATATGAGAAATATGCATGGGGCCATGATGAGCTTCAGGTTTGTTTTTTTTAGTCTTGCAACATTCCTCTTATTACTTACCAGTGTGTATATATCATTTTTATATGTTGCATTCAATGAAATGCAATGGAGTATTTCTAGCTATTTGGTCCTTTCGCGTGCCCTTGCATGTACTCTTGTTGGAGTTTCTCCCATAGCTTTATGATCCGTCGGTTGGCTAACTTAGTTGACGCTCGGATTATAATTATCCCATGAAAGCTTAGAGTTTTTGAAGAATTTATTATTTAAACTTCCAAATTGTTCAAATTATATTTAACTTTAGAGGATTGAGTAACTAATATGCTTGTTACAAAGGATTGCCAATGGAAAAACAACAGTTATCTTGTTGCATACAAAATGAGTAACTAATATTTGTTTATTTCTTTTATCAGCCACAGACAAAGAATGGCGTTGATAGCTTTGGCGGTCTTGGTGCAACTCTAATTGATTCTCTTGATACATTGTATATAATGGGGTTAGACGAGCAGTTCCTAAGAGCTAGAGAGTGAGTTTCAGCTTTCTTTGTTTGTGTATCTGAAATATCATAGATGAAAGCCTGTGATATTTCAGGTATATGGGTCTTGTTTCTTGTTTGTCATTAGTTACATCATTCTCAAAACGTTTCTGTTGGTTTTATAAGTTTCTTGTTACCCTCATACCTGCTAGATCAACTAGGTAGTCTTTACAAATTTTAGTTTGTTTTCCTGATCGTCAACGTTGGCCACCACCCTGGTGGTGAAATACAAGAATTACGAAAAGAAAAACTTCATTTTCCGTGACCTGGTCACTGTAGAGGATCAGAGCCTTTTATTAGTTTATTTTTTCACTCATTGATATTCATGAATCTTTCTCTAGCATTGGCATTTGCATATTAGACAGCCCTACCCTGAAGAATTTGACATTTGTACACTTGAGGTTTAGTAAAACCACCATATTTTCTGCTTGTGCACTTTCTATTAAATTTGGTAGTTTGCATCTCTAGTTTCTCTGAATGGCTGTTATATAAATGTAGCTTGGTTTCTTGTTCAATGGCAGGTGGGTTGCAAACTCTTTGGATTTCAACAAGAACTATGATGCTAGCGTTTTTGAGACAACTATAAGGTTGCTATCTAAGGTTTAGTTTGCTGTTTTTTAACTTTTTTTACTCAACTTCTTTCTTCTATTAGTGTAAATAAGTTAAGTGCTGCAATAGTTTTGTGGCTTCTACAATCAGAATGCAGGAAACAGCTAAATTCTTTTGTTAATTGATGATTTCTATTTTCATTCATCCAGAGTTGTTGGCGGACTTCTTAGTGCATATGATCTCTCAGGGGATAAAGTTTTCCTTGAAAAGGCGAAGGATATGGCTGATAGACTACTGCCTGCATGGGATACACCTTCTGGTATCCCTTATAATATTATTAACTTGGCACATGGGAATGCGCATAACCCTGGGTGGACTGGAGTAAGTTCTAGCTTTTGTGTATGTACAATTCAATTTTCCATGAATAGTTGGTTGGTATGACTCAAGTTTGGTGTTCAATTTCATTTTTTCATTGCGGCATAACAAAGATTCCAAACTGGCTCTCTCTTTAAGAGGTGGGTGTGACTTTTCATTAGAAACCGTCTTTATGTAAGTTTGTTTTTTCTGTTTATAAGCACCATCAATTGGTAGGTCAATAATGAACACTTTGTCACTTCAAGTTGATTCTAAAAGCGCAGGCCTTTTCTTTTTGATCAACAATTTAAGTAGTGGTACTAGCTTGTATAGTGTATAATTCCTTGCTTTGTTCTTAGTTGAAATCTATGTACAGCTTCAATTTATTAACCTTATTCTAGCTCTGTTTCTTCCAGCCATATGCTATAAGTAACAAAGGCAACTGTAAATTTCACACTTTTATGTTTTGCCATCATCAGTACTTAGTTACTTGCAGAACCTTTCAATCACCCATTGTTTTATTTAATGCATAAAGGGCTATGTTTAGCTTTGAGAAATGCTTTCATTTGAATTGTCACAGATAGTCTGTGAATGGGTAATATCTAATCCATTATGTACCGTCTCATGTTTCAGGGTGATAGTATATTGGCAGATAGTGGGACAGAGCAGCTGGAATTTATTGCTATTTCTCAGAGGACAGGCGATCCGAAGTATCAAAAGAAGGTACATGCCTTCTGTCTTCATAAGATGCATAATCTTTGGAATATTTTTTGCATCGTTCAACTTCTCACATTGGTACATAAATTACAACCAGTTTAGTTCCTACATTAATGGGGGTCTTGGAGGGATACATTGAACCTGTGGCCCCACGGTCAACTTTTCATATTTGTTGAAATACTATTAAAGACATCTGATGTCACATGGAAGAATCAATTAAATAATTGGCTTCTACTTTTGGATGGTATTTGGTTCAATTTGTATGGGTATGTTTCAGGTGGAGAATGTCATAGCAAAGCTTAATGAAACCTTTCCTTCTGATGGTTTGCTTCCCATCTACATCAATCCACATAGAGGGACAACATCATACTCAACCATTACTTTTGGGGCCATGGGGGACAGGTAATGACCATTTCATACGAGTATATGGTTATTTGAATTTTTCTGAGCTTTATATGTCTCTGTTTGTCATAACATCCCTTTCGTAGTCTAGATCCTTTTATTATCTATGAGTTCGATGGAGGTTTAGTCAATATAGAATTTTGATTGCAGCTTTTATGAGTATCTACTCAAAGTATGGATACAAGGAAACAAAACTGCTGCTGTAAAGCATTATAGGTGAGTAGCATTTATCTCCATTTATTTTATTTGATCTTAGATTCTTGGCAAAAGTATCATATGTGTCTTGTAAGGCATGTTATTAATCGGTTTTATGCGTTTATCAACCTACTATCAATTGTAGTTTTTATGGAATTTCTGAATGACATCGAAATATCATGCTGCATTGTGCTTGATATTGGCCAACATGACACTGTTGCCCTGTCCTACCTTTTTCTTTAATATTGAGAAGCTCAAATACATGGGAAGCTGACCCTTTTGATAATTTACACTGGTATGTTTTAAAATGAGAGTGAGATTTTAGCTTTTCTATATTCTATTACTTTGAACTTGGTGTACATTCGTTTTTGTGAGTTTTGAAATTCTTTATTGGAATGTTGGAAACAGAGAAATGTGGGAAACATCAATGGAAGGTTTGTTAAGCTTGGTTCGGAGAACTACTCCATCATCTTTTGCATATCTCTGTGAGAAGAGTGGGAGTTCTCTAATTGACAAGGTAATTTTTGTGTAGTTTACAAGTCTCATGAATGCTGCTTTAACAATTTACTTTTTGGTATTACAATTGCTTCTCTCTTTGTACAAATATGTGCAGATGGATGAATTAGCATGTTTTGCTCCAGGAATGATAGCGCTAGGGTCATCTGGTTATGGTCCTGATGAAGCTCAGAAGTTTCTTTCCCTGGCTGAAGAGGTGATTAATAGATTCTCATAGAACAGAGTTTTTTTACCTTAATGAGACCTAAATTATATGAGATCCTATTGGGGAAACACTTTGTCAGGGCATTCTTGGCCCTTGACATAATACACATATAAAAGGTAGCAATTTGTGCATTGGGCCGCCCTTTTATTATAAGATTCTTATGAACTAGACAAATTTATTACTCGATACTTTAACTTTCCTATTGTTCAAAATTTTTGCCTTGTTAACCTTCTATATTTATCCCGTTAAAAAAAAAAAATCTATACTATCTCTTCTTTCTTCTTCTAAAAACTTTATATGTACCTTGCTTTCTCTACTAGAAATGATAATGGCTATCCAACTTTGTGTGTGTGACCGACCAAAGAGTTTATGCACTCCCCCCCCCCCCTCTCTCTCTCTCTCTCTCTCGTGTGTTTGTGTGAGTAGTCTTTTATTGATGATCAACTATATCATAATAAAAACTCTATTTTGCATGTATTTGGACTGGGGCCTCATGCCTTACTTTCTTATCAGCTCGTCTCAGTTGATTTCTTACATTTTTAGGCTGTCTTCTACCAATGACCATGTTTTCATGTTATTTACACCTCTATGGTGTTGACTATAGATGCAAGGGAAACACAATTTTCTTTGGATAAGTTCTTCTACTTCCATCTGCGATGACACAAAGAGCCTATGCTAGTTTCTGCTATTGGATTTGTCATTCTGATTGATATATATGATGTGCCTGCCTTCTATAAAGAAAAAAGCAAACAAATCTTTCTTTTTCCTTCAGCAGTGCTGATTCGTTAGAGGCCAAGACACCTTTTTTCGCGTCCATGATCTCATTTCAATGCATGTTTTCAAGTTAGGGACTTGCTTCTTTTAGTTGGGGGGTAGGTCTGGAAGTTTGGGTCTTTTGATCCAGGGGCAATAGACCAGTGCAGGGTTGTTTGTTGCCTCTCCTGGGTTGGCCCTTGACAGTTTGAGGAAACGTTCATATGCACTCAGGGAAGTTTGTGCTTACACCCAGTTCAAAAAAGGAAAATGTAGTTGTGTTTACACATCAGTCACTGTGACTTGGACTTTCTTTGGCCTTTGTGCAGCTTGCGTGGACATGTTATAACTTCTATCAGTCAACACCAACAAAATTGGCAGGAGAGAACTACTTCTTTAATGCTGGGCAGGTTAGTTATCGTCTTCATTCTTGTGATATTTATAAGGTTTGTCTTCATCTAATGGTTCCTCTATATAAAACATTTTCAGGATATGAGTGTCGGTACATCATGGAACATACTGAGGCCAGAGACGGTTGAATCACTCTTTTACCTCTGGCGTTTGACTGGCAACAAGACGTACCAAGAGTGGGGTTGGAACATATTTCAAGCATTTGAAAAGAACTCCCGCACAGAGTCGGGATATGTTGGACTGAAGGATGTAAGCATTCGTCAAACCCATGATTTCAGATTTGATCTGAGATAATGTCCTGGTTTTGTTTACTTCACATTAGCTTTTATATAGGATGAGACTAATAGTAGTAATCAAAATAATAGTAATGTTAATAATGTGGGCCTCCTCATCCAAGATACATCTTGCCATAACCAATCCAAAAAACATTTCAGTACTCTTTCTAGTTGTGAGAAAGCTTATAATTGTTTTTCCCTGTCCATCCTAGAGGTTGCTATCTTGATTTGTCATATCTATCAATGAATGGTCTCTGAGAGTTTGTTGAGTCATACTCACCAACTTTGATAGTGAACATGTAGCATTTATTATCCTTGGGAACTGCATCTTTGAAATATTGAATTTAGTTTCTCAAGTAACGTCGAGAATAGTACAGTTTAGGTTCCTGCTAGCACAACCAGTTCATAATGATCATTGGCCGTGCAGTGTGCTGTTAAGTATTATTTGTTCTGAATAATAAAAAATTCTTTCGATTTGTCATCATGGAAACCTGATGTTTCTCAACAGAGATCAAGGTTTTATTTCTGGCTATCATTACTTACAAACAATGATTTTCCCATTTTGTGAGGTAAAGTTTTCTATTCTGGATAACATTTGGAGAAATAAGTATACGGTGTTTTATCATTTGGGAATACATCAGTTGGCCTTTTTTTCCATATTCAACAAATGATGTTTCTGGTGCAATGCGTAATTGTTTTCAAATGAAACACCATCCCATGAACACACTTACACACCCTTTTATGATGAATTGGTCACAGTGCAAATGTTATTTTTGTACTGCTTTGTGCATGACTGTCTATTTACGGGGATTGCTGGTTTTCCCAGGTTACTACTGGCGTCAAAGACAATATGATGCAAAGCTTCTTTCTTGCGGAGACTCTTAAATATCTTTATCTTCTTTTCTCACCGTCTTCAGTCATCCCGCTGGATGAGTGGGTTTTCAACACAGAAGCTCACCCTCTAAAAATTGTCTCCCGGAATGATGAAAAAGAAAACTTTGGAGCATCAGATGGACAACGTAAACCGACTTTAAGGTCACATGCCAGGAAAGAAGGCCGATTCGGTGATAATTAGGATTATTGGCATTCTTATGATTGTTAATTGAACCTCTTCTGAAATTTTGGGTTCTAATTACATGGGAGAGCTGAAGAGTGCATCATTATTGTGCCTGAAAATGGACTGGGCTTCATGAAATAATGCTCTGCTGCTCAACAGATATCACTTATATACATATAGGTGGGCACAATTGTATTTTAGATGAACTATACAGTTCCCAATATTTTTCGAAATTATGGATATGTAACATAGATGTTAGCAGGCATTTCCTTGCTCTTCTTTACTGTTGCCTCTTAGTTGAAGGCTAAGCTATATTCCTTTCTCCAACGGCCATTGTATTGTAATGGGAAGGAGTTTTTGTTAATGATTTCCGCAGCTTTGAGTTGGATGATTATATAACTCGTGTCACTGATGATACGGTGTCACTCTTCTGCACTATTTTGTGTCAACCACTAAATAGCCCTTAAATTATACTTTTTGTGTCAATCAAGCCTCTAAATTATGTTGTGTTAATTTAACCCTTAGAACTATATAATCTGATTTGGCTCTTTCATCAAAATTCCCTATTAAATTTGACAAAAATTTTTACGTGCACATCACATAAGTCAGAGATTAGGGTATAGTTCAGGGGCCACGTAATGTGTACGTGAGGGTTTTCGTTAAAGTTAACGGCGAATTTGGATGGAAGGGTCATATTGATTCAGATTACATAGTTCAGGGGCTAAATTGATACAAAACATAATTCAAGGGGTTGATTAACACAAATAGTATAGTTTAAGGGCTAAATATGTAGTTAACTAAAAAAAACGAGTAAAAATTGGGGATGAGTACTCTTAGATAGACTTATAATAACCTGAGGTAAGTCTATTTTTAATCTTATTAATAAGTAATTAAGTTCACTTATTTTTTTTAATCTAAAAAATACCTCTAAGTGTTAGTTTTGGTCAGTTATGGAATGCTAAAAACATTAGTTGCAAGGATATATATATATGGAAACCGGTGATTGAATATAGGAATGCTTGATTTACGACGATAGATTACATGTTTTCCTTAATAATTCAAATTCAAATTTTTAGTCATCAATTTTTATGTTATACATTTGAATAACAAGCTTTTGAGTTTTGGGAGTGTTTTGAAGGTGATAAAAATTGAAGCTGGAGTTCGACGTTTTTGGCAGTCGGAGTACAAGTACGAGTTCGAGATCTTTAAGTTGGAGTTTGAGTTCGACTTACTATTTGTTGGAGTTCAGGTTGATCTTGACTTTGTATGCTAAAACAATTTTTTATTCAGATTTCTTGAGGTATTCATTGTAATTAGTTACTTTATCTGCTACAAATAACAATGTTATATTTGTGATTGTTGGAATTTCTATTGTGACGAACTTTACGATCCTTTGAGATTTTTGGGGGGATTTGAAAGTGACGAAGGTTGAAACTGGAATTTGAGATTTTGAAGTCGGACTATGAGTTTGAGTTCGAGTTCGAGATTTTAAAGCTGAAATACGATTTTGAGTTACTATTTGTTAGAGTTTGGGTTGATCCTAACTTCGAATGCTGAAATTTCTTATTCAAACTACCAGAGTCATTCATTATAATCGTTTGCTTCATGTACTTCGAATAAGAGAGTGCTCTATTGAGATTGACAGAAACTCGGCAATTGCAGTTGAACTTTACGGTCCTCTTACAGTTATTTGCCTAATTTGATTGTGTTTCTCATGTTACTAATTGAGAATATCACGATTATCTAATGTGATAAGTTATCAATATAATATTTATCTCTCATGGACTAGATTTGAGCCATGTTACTATTAATGTTACTGTATATGTTACTGTTGATGTTACTATTTTTGTACTAATACAAATAGTGACCAATCGTGCAATAATATTACAAACTCACTTAAAAAATATAACATTAAAACATATTTTCTTAAAGCAGGTGATTCTCTAAATAGGAACAAATTTAAGCAGTGTTACTAAGTTATTTTTTGCACTGACAATCTGGACATAGTTTCATTTGTTTTTCAAACAAATATATACAAATAATACCCAACCCTGCATATAACAACATATCACTTCTACATATAACACCATATCAGCCTTCTAAAATCAAATGGTTTACTAAGTTGAAACATATTTGATCATGTTACTATTTGAGTTACAATCCAGACAAAGTTTTATTTGTTTTTCAAACAATTCATTACAAACAGATACTTAACCCTACATCAATATATCAATTTAATCTCAAGAAATAACACCAAATCATATTTCTTAAGGCTTTAATACACCATTTCAACCAATTTTCAACCAACAAACCATTACAACCGATTTTTAACCAACCCTGCAGCTAGCTAAAAATGAATTACTTTACAACATTACAAATTCTTATTTTTTTGGTATTTTTTTTTCAATCTTGATATTGTCTTGTAGTGTTCAATAGTCCATGCATTCCTATGATTTATGAATGTAGAAACCATCTCTATCCGTAGAGCTTTAACTTAAGTTGGTTTTCAGTTTATCTTCTATTTTTTTCCCACGGAAACATCACATGGTAGCATCAATATCTAACAAACATATAATAACATATTGCAAAATCAGATTACCAAAGCATGCCTACAAATTTAATTGATTTTTTTTTTCTCACAAATCATATATTGGAAAAAAGCTCACAACACATAATGAACATAAGATAATTAGTAAAAAAATGTGAAAAAGTAACATGAGTAGTGCAAGTCAAGTACTTGATGTTAACATAGTAACATCAGTTCAATAACATCAATTTCAAATCGTAATTTATTAACACATATCATAGTAATATCCGTCCATATACAATCTTAATTTTTAGTGTTAAATTTTTTAGATTGAACATAAGACATTAAGCATAATAATGTCTAAAAATAACATGAAAGTTAAGCCCAATACTTGTGATATCATAGTAACTATTGTTCAGTAACATCATTTACAAATTGTAAGTTAATAACATAAAATGAGTCAAAGTTCTTGTTGAAGATTAATTATATTATTTGAATAAGTAACACCAAATCGTAAAGCTAATTAAAGCGCATAACAACCAAGTGAAAATTTTGGAAATTAAACATCTCTTTTTTTTTTCCGTAGTAACACAACGCTTCAATTTTGGATTGTTTTTCACAAAAAAACACTACACAAATTGAAAAATTAAATTATTTTAATTAGTAACACATAATCGTAAGTTGAATTAGGACAACAATAACAATTGTGAACGTTAAGAAGTCGAATATGTAACATCAAATTTTTTTCCCATCACAGTAACATCAATGTTTTTCCACAATAACACAATGAAGCAATTTTTGATTGTTTTTTCCAATAAACGATACACCATTTGAAAAATTAAATCATTTAATTTAGTAACACCAAATCGCACATTGAAATTAGGAAAACAAAAATAAATGAAAATTTTGAAAATTAGAATATGTAGAATATGTTCTGAAACCGTAGAATGAACAAAAATTTTCCTATAACATCATCACATACTTGAACCCTAATTCTGAATCCAAAAATGTAGAAGATGTTTTGAAATCCTAGAATGAACAACAACTTCTTCAATGGATTCCACAAGAAATTGGAGAAGCAAATCGAATATAGTATTAATTGAAAGGATTTAGTTTAAAATTTAAATTTGAAAGATTTTTGAAAAATTTAGGTTACATGTTTGTTGTAGAAGGAAACATCGTGGTAGTAAAAATCTTTGCCGGATTTGTAGGCGTTGCCCAGATTTGTAGGTGTTGCTGGATTTGAAGGCGCCAATTGTTGAAGGAGTCGATTGTTTCCGTTTGTGAAAGAGTTTTTTCAAACGTCGTTTATTTCTTTCTAAAAGAAAGTGATAGTTTGATAAAATTGACAAAAAATAAAATTCATAGAAAATAAGTTTTATTTATAGGCTTATCTCTAAATAAGTCTATATAGAGGGATCGACCTCCAAAATTTTCAAAAAAAATTATGAATATGCGACAAGTTGGGCCTCTAAATTGGTCTTGAATGAACTAGGCTGAGAACTGACTGCTGAAGTTCAGCCCGGTCCACGAACGGAATGAGGAGCCACCAAGACTTTTGAACTTGGAGAGGGAGAGAGAGAGAGAGAGAGAGAGAGGGAACAGTGGAAATTTCGGAGGAGGTATATACCGTTGGACATGGAGAATCTTTAGAGAACCCTTTTCCCTACTCTCTGAAACTAATCCTCAATTTCAAAACCCTAAACCCTAATGTTCTAGAGATTCTTTAACAAAGATGCTTAGAATATAGCATGCGGAGGAAGAAGATAATCATTACCCCACTCCCCTTTGTATTGATGCGAACGTCTCGTTTTCTCACTCGCTTTCGCGACTATTCTACCTGCAGCTCCCAATATAGCTCCACACACCTCGCTCTATCCAAAGTCTCTGAAATATACGATTCATTAGAACCTCCGAAGAAGAAACCCACCGAGTATTATGGGTATTTGCATACTCAATTCACTGGAGGTCATAGGTTTTTCAAGTCTCCAATCGCATTGCAAGGTTTTGTTTCCGCGAATTGTTCACGACGGGTCAATTCGTTAGCTTCGATTTCTTTAGATTCTAATCATCATTACTCCTTCCACCGCAGTGAGTTTTTTTTTTTTTTGATTAATTGACGTGATATATCCTACTTTGGAATTATATATGAAGGCTGCAAGTTTTGACATTGTTGTGTGTTGCAGGTTTTTTCACTAGAACCAAGAAAATAAAGGCTATAGATGTTGATGATCATGGGTAATGTGTCTTTTCTCATGCTAATAATTGTATTCTACTATGAGAGATCTATTCATTTAACTTCGTTTTTTAGTTCACTAGGCTGTTCCGACAAGGTTATTAATTGTTTGGAAGAGGGGAGTAACATTAGGCTGCTTTTAGGTTGAAAATACAATGGGGCAATTTGAATTGGGTCCTTATTGACTCAGTTCTCTTCCTAACCCACTGTTCCTTTGTAATTGCCCATTAGAATTAGACACTCTTAAGTAGCATCCTTGTTGGCTGATCAACTAAGGTTGATAGGAGAGGCAATATTCGATTAAATTTGGGCAAGACATCCATTATAGGGAATGGTGGACTTCAGAATACTCCTTTCACCTAGATAATTACAAAAACGAAGGGTGGATTTTTTGAGCAACTTAGCATAACGCATGACTAGCTATTCAAGCTTTTAGAAGCAATTATCACAGTTTTGGGGTGATGAGATGAACTAAGTTTATGCACATCAACCAGGGTTGATGACATCAATAGATGAGGATGCTAATATTGTCTTTCTAGATGTTAACTTTGCAAGATGATCTTTGTTTCTTACAAGTTACTTTGATGCATCATACAATGGCGTAGTTGAGGATACTGGGCACATTATATGCTATTTACAAGTAAACGAGATAACAATGAGGCCGCCCATAGAATGTGTTTGCATAGTGAAATGCATGATGCATATGAGTCTACATTCTTGAATCAGAATGCCATTCTCCTTGTCACTGATTAGATCCATTGACATGCTTAAATAACAGCATAAACTCGTGATTTTTCTATCTAACTGGTATCTTGCGTATGGGTAGTTTTATATACATATGTCTCTACTGAACTCTGACAATGCTTTAACTACTGTCCTGTCAAAATAGAAATAAATAAGTACTATAATTCTTTTTCTCAGATTTTTAATTAGTGAACAAATATTGTGATTCTCTTTTCATCCATTTTTTTTTTTGTTTTGGTTTCCTCGTCTTTTATTTTTTGGCTTGTCCAAAATTTTAACTCCAGACAGAGAGCCGTCACGACTGCATTATGGTGCAACTTTCTTGTCTTTTCACTCAAGTTTGGGGTCTGGTTAACTAGCTCAAGCCATGTCATGCTGGCTGAAGTTGTGCATTCAGTTGCTGATTTTGCAAATCAGGTACCAAGGTCCCATTGAGCTCATTGTTGTCAATCTTCTTGCTACCATTCTTATTATTCTGTTTTGCATGTTGAACTTTATACCTGACTTCAAGAATGCAGAGAATCTAATTCTTGTTGGCCTTGTAGGCACTTCTTGCATATGGGTTGAGCAGTTCAAGACGTGCCCCAGATGCTCTCCATCCGTGAGTGTTTCATTTTTAACATAACCTGGACCACTTTCACATCAAGTGGTACAGACACATGTAGATGCATGCACTCACACATATACTTGTTTATTGAGAAATTTCTTATATGAATGTGCTAAATCCTTTTTCTTTTTTCTATCAGTTATGGTTATTCCAAAGAGAGATTTGTTTGGTCATTAATATCTGCTGTGGGTATCTTTTGTCTTGGTTCTGGTGCCACAATCGTTCATGGGATTCAAAACTTGTGGACTTCACAGGTAGTCAAAATGATGGACTTTTATGTTGACAAATATCTATTTCCATCATTCTTGAAGAATAACTGCTCCCCCTTTACATGCACTAATCAATTTATATTCCTTTTACATTTAGCCCCCTGAAAATATGCAGTATGCAGCATTGGTGATTGGTGGCTCATTCCTTATTGAAGGTATTACTCCTTCCACGTTATCTGGCTGCCGATTGTAAAAATGTTACTTGTTTGTTGGCTTCTCTTTTCGTCTTCTCCTCGTAAATAACATGGACCTTCCTTCAGGTGCTTCTCTTGTTGTGGCCATACATGCTGTCAGAAAAGGTGCAGCTGCGGAAGGAATGAAATTCAGTGACTATGTCTGGCGTGGTCATGATCCCACAGCTGTTGCAGTCATGACAGAGGTAATCACTTGTTTTCTTATGATCGCTCCAGATTAATTTATTATAAAGTTTGTAGCTTTGTAGCCTGAGAATTTTTTGTGCCATAAATTTCAAAATCATTGTGTTAACTGCAAAGTGTGATATAATATAGATGGCTTACTACGGTACCGGTTGAAAGAGTGATATAATAAAGAAAGACATGATAACTTATGGTTTAATAGAGAGTATGACCCATGATAGAACACAATGGCAACAGAGGATTCATGTAGCTGACCCCAAAATGTTGGGACTTAGTTGAGTTGAATTGCGTTAACTGGAAAGTGTCTTATATTGCAAAATCTTTTTGCTTTCGATTTTATCATGAATGTCACAGCTCTGGTTTCATTTGATATTAGCATTGCATCCACCTTATAAGTTTCCATTGGTGCTTGGTGTTGTAAATGCATTTATGAATTCAATGCTGGAGCAAAATGCTTTTCTAGAATTCAATTCTAAACTTACCCAAACCTGAATGTAACCTTACGTTATAGGCAAGGAATAATTTAAAAAAATAGCCAGGAGTCTTGCAAACCGCTGCACACCAACATCACAGCATTTTGGTTGTCACTCAAGATATCTCTAAGTTGTCACTTTGGGTGCCTTCCATAAAGTTGGCGTGACGCAACATGCTCACAAAATGATAGTATTCCAGGGTTTTTAACTTCTGCTTGACAATCAGCACCATATAAGACAATACATACGGTACTGAAGATGTCCTTGAGCATATGCCCTCTGGGTAATAGATGTTTTAGTGTATAAGATTTGGGATATATTTCTCTATTAGAAATATTTATGAACTCGTGATAATATCACGTTGTCTGCAAATGGCATTTGAGTGTAAATGACAGCTATTATATTGATGTAATCAGACGCAATTTTCAAAAATTGCCATATCTTTTAGTCTAAATGGCAGTTATCATATTGAGGTAATCAGATGCAATTTTAAAATATTGCCATATCTTTTCAGGCTGGCTCTTACCTTTCCTCCACCCCATAAGCATGGTACTGCTCTTAATGCTTTTATCTATGGCCCTTAAAAGTTATCTCACAAATGCAGGACGGTGCTGCAGTCACTGGCCTTGTCATTGCTGGTGCATCATTGGTTGCCGTGAATACGACAGGGAACGCAATTTATGATCCTGTTGGGTCCATTATAGTGGGAAACCTTCTTGGATTGGTATGCCATATGAAAATACTTTTTGATCATAAATAAGTCCCAATATTGAGGTAATATATGATCCACTTTATTGTTCTAAAATTTAGGTGGTGAAACTTGAGAATGGCTTATTGGATCATGTCAGTTAATTTCTAATATGAGAGAGATAAATAATAATCAAAGAATATGTGTCTTTGTATTTCTTATCTTCTGATGGGGTGCGCGTTCCTGCCTGGACTGGAGGGGTGTGGAGGGGTTGACTATCCTTTTTAAAAAAACTTGAAGCTTTCTGATCCAAATTTTTAATGCAGGTTGCTATATTTCTTATTCAAAGGAATCGGCATGCTTTGATTGGTAGAGCAATTGATGATCATGATATGGAAAAGGTTCTTCAGTTTTTGAAAAATGATGCGGTACACTCTTCACTGTGAAACTTGTTCTTCTTCATAAGTTGGCGATGATCATGTTTAACAAACATGACTTTTGGTTGAAGGTTGTGGATGCTGTATATGATTGCAAAAGTGAGGTGATTGGGCCTGGTTTTTTCAGATTTAAAGCAGAAATAGGTGACCCTTCCATTCATATCATTCACTTTCCTGATTTTCGAGGAATCTTTTTGTTAGATACATCATGATATACATAGAGATTAGATTAATGAGAGTACCAGCATCTTCTCTGCTGTGATAACACACTCCTCTTGGAGAAAACAACACTTAATACACTGGCAAAATCTCTGACGTTATATTTGCATGTTGCGGATTAATATACTATGATGTACTCTATATCTCTTTACAAAAGCCACGATCCTTCCTGATAGATCTGGGTTCTTTTGAGGCCATTATTTCCTATGGATCTATGGCATTCATGTTCATTTGAGAAATGGACCAAGGACTAGGAAACCCATCCTAGTGTTGACTTGAGAATGGAAGTAGGTAATTTTTTTTCAGAAATACTAAAAAGCTAGGAAGCACCGATACGGTTACAATACAGATACGGAAATACCCCAAAAAATAAGATACGGGTACGACTGAGATGCATCTATAATTTTAGTATTATGTAATGACTTGATGTCTATAATTTTAGTAATTCTTTAACAATAATAAACAACATTAACAATTTTTATTTTTAAAAAGTTATCTATCGTCTCACTATGATACATATACAAAGTGAATGTGATTAATTAAAGGAATAAGAATCAACATTTAACTATATTGTTTGCTCAAAAGTATTTATTACTAAGATTATAGAGTAATCAACTCATTTAAACTCTTTAGACATGTGATAATGGATAATACTTGGAAAACACTCATGTGTCTTCCCAACTCATGATTTTTTGTTAATGTATTGCGTTGTATGTTAAATCCAAAGGAAGGGGTAAAAGATTAAAACTAAAAATTATATATACTTCTCTGCATATAGAAGTATTCGCAAAGTATTCATATATTTTATTTATTATTGGATACATTTGGTGTGTATTCGATATGTATCCTCGAGTATCGTATCCGATATGGATACGTTGATCTTGATGAAATATACGTGTTTCATAGCTAAAAAGATTCCAAGATACAAAATATTCAAATTCAACTGTTGAACAGTCATTTAGTTGATTTTGCTTCAATTTTGGGAACCTCAGTGTAGTAAGATGAATCAGTGTAGTAAGATGAAGCTTTGTGCTGCAGATTTCAATGGTGTGGTGTTGGTGCAGAATTATATAAACAGAACTGGTCGTGAAGGGTGGGCTAGACAGGTTACGATTGCAATCTCTCTCTTTTTTTTTTGCTTTATATTCATTGTTATTTTTTGGGTTTTCCTACCACAACTTCACTGCCTCTTACTTTCAAATATGATACCTCAAGCTGTCTGCGTTTTCAGGCAAACAGCCACACCAATACATACAATTTTTTTTTTCCGGTCCTTTTTTCTTCTTCCCTTCATCTTCGCCTTGGGTAATGGGCTTAATGGCATATATGAAGCCGCCTCTTAATCACATCTGATAAGTCCTACCAGTAGTTAATTTGTGCTCGTTTTAGAGGCAGTGCTGCCCTCACCATGATTCTTCGAAGTTTTGATCTTCTACATGTGAGTCATCTCAAATCTACACATGAAAAATTACCTAGCTCAGTTGTGATAGATGAAAAGTGGATCTCATGTGGCCTGATCGAACATGAAGAAGCACAGAAAAGGGGGAGGGTTGGGTTGGCAGATGGACTTCAGAAGTGACTACATTTATAAGCACTTTTGGCGTGCCTTACTATCTCACATTCATTGATTTTTATGATATCATGTACAGTTCCGAGAAGCAACAAAGGAGAAGGATGAATCTGCTCTACTAAAAGTCATGTCAAATTATGGTATTTATTGCCATAATAGCTAAGGTTTGTTGAACTGAACTTGCCATGCAATAGTAATAGATTTTGTTTAATGGCAGGTGAAGAAGTGGTTACTGCTCTAGGAAGTGAAGTTGATAGGCTAGAGAAGGAAATCCAGGAAATTGTTCCTGGCATTCGGCACGTTGATATTGAGGCCCACAATCCAATTGGTCCATCCCCATGACATGTGGATTTTAATATGTAAGCATTAATTTTGCATTGTTCTTTTTTTCCCCCTAAAATGAATCAATTATTTTCAATTATCCAACAGAGAGATGTCCTATGCAAGGCTTCCAGGATGTCACATGAAACCAATCTGCAATGACACGTGTGTAAATGTTTATAGTCAGTTTATAATTGTTGTTGATGTATCATGTATGAGTCCTTTATTTGGTTTTGTTTTTCCTTTTTTTCGGGCATTGGGAATGTTATTGTTTTGCTTTTTCAAAGGAAATACAGTGCATGCGTGAGCGCTCATATCAGCCAAGATGGAAGGAACCTTAGCTAGGTTTACCATTTAGTAGTGAATGGCCCTCTAGCCAATCTAATGTAAAAGCCTCAATTATAGAATGGTACATGAAAGCTAAAGTTGAGGTTCTGTTGCTGGAGGTTTTATAATCTTTATTGAGGATGAGTAAATGTTGATGGATTTTCTGGTGCAATCCTGGGGGGCGAGGGTTGAATTGCATGCCCTGTCGTGTAATTGTTTTTCAGACATACCATTCTTGAATCTGAATTCTGTGTGTTGTGTGTGTGTGTCTTTTCTGGAGTTGAATTCAAATTTCCAGAAACAGTGTTGAGGGAGGGAGGGAAGTGGGAACCAGTTTAATCCTCCCTCTACCATGATCCTAAATATGCTGAAGACTTTTTAGTAGAAGCTGGTCTGTCTAGCCAAGGGATTATATGCTGCTACTGGCGTTGGGTTGTGATTTGGTTCAGGGTGATGAAGGCTTTCTCTCCAACATGGCCTCTGTATATATGACCAAAATTGTTGGGTTTTTTTTTTCCAAACGGTCAGGGTTGTTCAGTTTATTTATGCGCATCTCGACTAATTTTTTTCTAGTTTGGTGAAAGATTGATCATCCATGATAAGATTAAGGTATTCATGAGAGATAAATTTCTTATAGTATGACCACAAGGAGTTTCTAAGTTTTAAATTAAAGATGTTTGGATTTTCATCTGAGTGTTCTGATAATTATACCACATCACCATCAACGCTGACAGCCTCACAATCCCCAACTCCGGCACTCAGTGCACCATCACCACTAATGGCTGCCCAGTGCACCACCACCACTAGCTGTGCCGTAACCACTGCATCTTCACCATTCAACTCAATTTTGCCTCTCTCTTAAAGCTACCTCAGTGCACCAGAACTTGAAATAAAAAACAAAAATCTCAAAATTTACAATTAAAATGAAAAATCAAGAATCAAAATTAAAAGGATTTACTTTGTACTCTGAAAAAATTTAAGAATTTTATTTTGTAACCTCAAAGATTAATTTTTTCATATTACACCTTCAAATGTAGTAACAATATTATAATGTGATTTATTCGTTATTTTTTTTTGTCCAAAATAATCCATCGATACTGACGAAAAAATTAATAGAAAGTGATGATGCTTGAAATCAACTGGACTGGACTATAGAATAGCTTGTGATGCGGCCCAATAAGTGTGTATTGTATATGATGCAAGATAAAGGCAACAATATGAGTGGTTCGTCTTAGTCAAAAGACTAAGGTTACGTTCATTGTAAGGGAGGTTGTTGCTCTTTTAGAATTTATATTGCTTGAGGAAGAAAATTGTTATTACAAACTGTTTGATTTGAAGCCTTTTACAGGATATTGTTTAGATTACAGTTGGGTAGTTTTTCTCAATGGCCTCCTTTGCATTGTGGTATCGTTAGCTATTTAAATATTTGGCTGTTAGGATTTCATGTTGATCTTTTTTTGCTGATTGCGTGGTCCCTTCTGTGTTTGTTTTGTTCTTGGAGTAGTGGTATCTGACGCCTTTCTATTCCCACTATTCGTCGGCTGCAGTACATGATCCATCTCCACTACTTGTGGATTTTCATTCTTCAAAGTTGTTAAGTAATGTTCTATTGTCTCCTGTCCACGTGTCATGTTGTAGTTTTTGCAAATGGTTTAGTGTTGTACTCCCATTTTTTGAGTTGAAACCTATACACTGAGTTTGTTAGCATCGAACCTCTTCGGAATTGGGCCGCGGTTCAGTTTAAACCCAATGAAAGTTGTTTGAATGAGATGTTTGAGTCACTTTCTGCGAGTCTAGGAGTGTTTGGGATCTAGGAGTGGTCTACACTTAAATCCATCGTTATCAGAAAGCTAATAAAATAATCATATAGTAACACTACTGATAAATTGAAAATACAAGAATTGAAACAAAATCGAAATCAAAATTGAAAATCGAACTACATAGAGTACAGTCTACGAAGGGCAAACCCATTCAGGGGCTCCAACTTGAAGACTCTATATATCTTCGTGAGAGATTCGCAATTTTCAGTCAAAAGTTTAGGGGGGACGAGGTCGTGGTGGTTGATCGAAACACGTTGCAGATCTTGACGGTGAGGTGGGTGATCGTACTCGTGCCTGTTACCTTGACGAATGAGATGTATGGAGTTGATTAGTGTACGGTAATTTCAAATGTTGTTTATCATTTTATTGTTGTTTCAATCTTATGTACCAAATAGTTATTATTAATTTCTAAAAGTGTGTTTAGGGCAAAAATTAAATTTGGGTAAAATAAAATGAGTAAAAAACTTCATTTGATATGAATCTCTATAATGGGAAAAAAAAAAAAAAAACTCAATTTCATACTTAAATCTTTCTAAAAAAAATTCTTTTCTTTAATATTTTTTCATCCAAATTGTTCCATATTGCGAAACCAAAATTGGAACTCGAAGGAGGAAGCCTGAAATTGTTCTAGATTACAAAACCAGATTGGCTGTGAAGCCTGAAGGAGGAATGAAGTGGAATTCGAAGGCCAGGACTGAAGTGGAATTCGAAGCCTAAAACGAGGAAGGAGGAAGTTTTTGGCGGTGAAGAAGCTTTTGGCAGTTTGCACCATAGTTTTAAGGGTTTTTTGTGGGCTAGTATCATATATAACACTTGTTTGTATAAAGTTCTTCGATTAAAATGTTGTGGGGAAGTTTTTTTTTTCCCAAAAACACTTACAGAGATAACTGAACAGACGCGTTGTTTGTCTTTGAAAACCGTTGAATTCTATTCACCATCTTCACAAAATTCGGCCACTAATTAAAACCCAAAATTCGACTTTTCAAAATTTGAACAAAATTTTCTCAAATTCTTTCAGTTTTTAACTATACACGAACCACAATTTTCCAAAAATGAATTAAGAGTTTCTTATTTTAATGGGATAATAAATTTGAATTTTAAACATTTTCTTTCCTTTTTCTAAAATCTCTCCCACATAGTTATAATTTATCTTTCCTAAAATTTCTCTCACATAACTATAATTTATCTTTGTATTTAATTGACCCTATCTAAAATTCTCTTTCTCTCTCTTAATTATAAATTATAGCCTAAAATCTCTCAATTAATTAGCTAAAATTAGTGTCACTTTGTATTGTTATACTTTGATGTTACACTACTATTCATTAAAAGAAAAGTATATAGATTTCACATTTGTGATATTACATTATGTGATGCATACTATTTAGATTAGGTATGAATCAGTGAATATACTTTTATAATTTTTGTTAGTGATTAAATTGTTGATGAATGCAATGTTATCAGAACCGGACCCCTGTTATCGAATTGGCAAGAGGATCGCGTCAATGGTTTACTGGTTCAACCATTGGATCAACTGGTCGAATCGGTCATATAATAAAAAATATATATAATAATTATAAAACATAATAATTTAGTTAAAAATATAAAATATATCTAAAATGCATACAATTTGTCATAAAATTAATATAAAATGTCTAAAACGCATATACTACTCCAAAAAATGATATGTATTTAATTTATTATTTTTGAATTTAATTTGATTTCTGTAGCATTTTTCAAGGCATTGTTACATGGAAATTAATGCTTAGAGGGAAATGACACAAGGCACAAGGTCCTCTTTCATTAAAGTCTCACCCAACTTTGCCCATCCACTTTCCTTCGTCGACTACAACTGCAAGCCCCACAATTCAAACAAACCTTTTTTACCATAGAAAACAACATTGCTCAATACAAGAAACTTCAGTTCAAAAAAAAAAAAACAAGAAACTTCACAAAAACACCACAGCCATTTTTAGTCTATCAAGAATTTTCTCCAGTTTTTTCATAGATCACCATTGGACTAAACCATTTTACCTTAATGAAGCTACTGCGTTCTGTTCTCACTTCACATTCTTAGGCTTCTTTGCCTTCTACGATTTAGGGCAAAATTAAAATGGTCCAAATAAAAAAAACAGGTTGTTTGAGCTATCGCTTGAGTGCCTCGCAGTTCCTTCGATGGTCGCCTGAGCTGTCACCTGAGTGCATCACAATTGCCGGTCGCCTGAGTGCCTCGCAGTCCCCTTCGATGGCCGCCTGAGCTGTCGCTTGAGTATCTCTCAATCGCTGGTCGCCTGAGTGCCTCATAGTCTTTGGTAGCCTCATGTCTGTAAAAGATGAAGGGAAAGGCTATGTTGTTTGTATTTGTGCCTTCAGGGCAAAAAAATGGCTCAAATAAAAAAATATCCTAATTTAAGGTCCTTATTGCATCAAACCGTTTGATTCTGATAACACTGAATGAATGTGTTAGACTGTCATCTATCACTGTAATGTCATGTTATAAATGATGATGACCCCAACGTTAAAATAGACGTTGGTTTTATTTAGATCTTTCATCGTTTATGGATGATTTAAACGTTAAAAAAAAAAAAGAATCTTCTAGATTAGGAAATTACCTATCAATAAAACCAAATCTCATATAAAAAACAACTAGGGAAAGAGTGTTATAGTAAAGAAATTAATAAAAAAACTGTCGTTGTGTATATCTGTATAATATATTTCAATCTGATGGTACTTATCTACAACATAATTTTTTCAAGATCATTTCTCACAAAAAAGCCTTTCACAAGGTACTTATCCACAATTTTTCATAGTTTTAAAACTCTGTCCGAATATCAACCCGGCAAAAAGACGGGGTCAATGGATTACTGGTTCAACCGTTGAGTCACTGGTCATATAATAAAAAAATAATAAATAATTATAAACAATAATAAATTGGCTAAAAAATCACAATAATTATAAAAATAGTATCAAACATTTAAAGTAAACAAAAATCCTCAAACATTTTTCCAATGAATTTAATTTCTAATACAACTTATAAAGCTAAGTAGAGAAAAATATCTCTATTTAAGTTCAACTGTTCAAAATTCCAAGGCCAAGTCTTTGACTATGCATTAATCCTAAACCTAGTAGGACCGAAGGGTGTGAACAAGGAGTCTCCAAGCTCAAATTCAAGGGTGTGATAGCAAGCTATCTCTAATGGCTACTATAGTAGCAGGACAGCTCGTAAAAAGTCACATGAAATACAATAGATCAAGCAAAGATGTCACCAAAGTACCACCCTCCTAAAGAGGGTATATTCATGTCATTTAGTGTATAAAATACAAACCAAAAATCAGTGTGCTCAATGTATAAAATGCAAATCTTCAATCATTCATTCAATGCATAAAAATACAAACCATTACAATAAATGAATCAATGTATATAAAATCAGTGGCGAGTCTCGTATGTGATAGTCTAACCCGGATTAAGTATATAGTTCCCTTCCTGGTCTGGGTTAGGGTTCCAAACCTGCCCTATCCCTTAAAGCCCTAGAGCTCTAGGTCTACTTCTACCTAGATACATACAGCTTGCCTTACCACCATTTCAGAGCCAAGCCTCCTTTTCTGATAGAGGGAAGTGAGAAAGAAATGGATTTTAGGATCGCCTAATTCAATAGCTCAAAAATAGGTGGAGTTCGCCCTTTAAAGCATAGTTAAGTGTTGCAACAGGGGGGTTGTTCAGCGAACAGGAAGCAAAGTCTCCATACCAACATTGAAGGCTTCGCAGTTACCCAGAAGAGATCCTTACTCTACTCTATAGGGGTGCTAGCGCTTGACTAATATAATAGATAGATAGATAGAAAGTCAAGTAAAGTCAAGTCAAGTAAAGTCAAGTCAAGTCAAGTCAAGTCAAGTCAAGTCAAGTAAAGTAAAGGCTCTTCTTCTGTTCTACGAATCTAACTAATCTATACTACTAACTATAGTCAGACTAGGTCTTCTAGAGTGAACTAGCATAGTAGAGTTTCTATATTTTGTGCTACTAGAACCATAAGCCGCACTATACTATACTTGACTGAACCTCCTTACGCCGATTCAAATAAGGCAATAAGAGAGGCCCTCTTTAATACATTCGCGTCAGCTTCGAGGGCGCCTTTTCCTTAAGCATTTCTTTCTCCATCTAAGGTCAGGGAGGAACCTGAGGGAAAAACCGCTTTCTTACCAATTAGAAGGAAGAAAGAAGGAGCCGCTGGTCCCGGGAAACGAAGTACGCTTTGGTGATCGAGAAGCAGCCAGATATAGGAGAAGGGGCGGTTAGCTTAGTAAAGAGAATATATAGTTCCACTTGGTGAATAGTGCCTCGGCTCGCAGCAGACTTATTCTAGTGGAAAGACATTTCTCTCTGGGAAAAACACATAAGATTTGTTCGCTAGAGCTCATCACTGAAGAATAATGGTGGCTTGACTTTTTGGAATTAGAGAAGAACTTCTTCGCGTGGGCGGCGTACGTACAAGGCTGTTCGGACTCCCTCTTGTATGAGGTGCGTTGCCATCGTCTCTTTCCCCTTTGCCAGGTTACGTGTCATGGATTCGTCGATTGACGAATCGGATCTTGGCTCGCTGTCCCGCCGACGAACCAGTCTAGAAGTAGAAAGGGAAGGCAATAGAAAGAGGTCTCCCTTCCTCCCTCTGTTTGTCTTCTTCTCGCTGTTTTTCTCGTCCATCTTGCCCTGCGCCGCTTACAGATTCAGTTGCAGGTATCTAAGCATCCATTAGTGTTGGGGGTTGGGGCGCGAAGCGCAAACCGCTCTTCGATCTCCCGGTGAGTTGGACGGGAACGAGACACAGGGGGTTATCTATGAAGCATTTGAATTGCCCCTTTTTGTTGGAATAGTTGAAAGTCTTCTTCTTAGGGGATTTTCTTTTTTCTTATCAACATAGAGTTGGAACTTAGCCGTGTAAGTAGTGAGTGGACCAGTGTGAAGATTTAGTTTCGTTGCCGGCCAGAGCTCCTAGCCGACGACCGGCTACCCTTTTCGAGCTCAGCTGACCCCTTCTTGATTCAGTTTTTTCCTATTTGAGATAGATGAATCAATGGAACTTTGATCCCACGTTCCTGCTTGGTCAATTCCTGGAAGGCCCCTCTTAATGTAATGATTGAACAATCAAAGTGCGTTTGCTGCGACTACGAGCTGCCAGTGCGCCTTTCTTTGGGTCGCTACGCTCAGGGTCGAGAACTGGTTCAAAAGTAGAAGGTGGTCCAAAACGAGCTAACGCGAGTTTTCGAACGACGCTTTTCCCCTTTTTGAACATCACTGAGATAGGCTTTTCCCCGAACCATTGACCCTTGTTCGGGAGGGAGAAGTTGATTCATTCAACGGAGCTTTATTTGTTTGATCTAGTAAGGGGGTGTTAGAAATAAGCCACCGCCCGACGAAACAGCGGTTTACAACAGAGCGACCCGGGACATCGAGCGAAGAGCTCCAATGCGCATATTCGGAGCTACGCGGATGCCGTAGTCGCAGAAGCCGGATCAACATCATGACAACGGCATTCTGGAAACCGTTGGGCCAGCCACAATTGGTCTAATGTCTGGGTGCGTATGGCGGTACACTGAGAGCACCTTTCAAGTCGGCTGAAAAAGAAAGAAAGAAAGAAAAAAGGGTTTCGTCGTCTTTTTTTCGATTGCGAAGGGATTTGAGGCCGGTTTTCAATTCGCTTCTCTCTCTCCGGCGAGGTTTGAACTTCGCGTGGTGGGAAGGCCTTCACGATTCGCATCTTCCCGTCCAGCAAAGAAAGTGAAGAGGAGCGGACAGCGAGTTGGAGGACGCTGCAGAACTGCGTGATTGATCCATCTGCGTTATTCCCTAATTGAAGAAAGTTGGAAAGCCTTCAGAGCCCCTACTAATCTATTCTATTATAAAGGCCCTACCATTCTATTTCAAAAAATGAAAGAAAGCTGACTAGCAATCGCTCGTTTTTCTTATTAGCATGGGATTGGATGTTAATAATGAAAGACAGAACTTATATTCTAAGGCAATCCCCGGGGAATTCCTATCGATTTTCGATGGATAACAATCGCTTTCGCTCTTTCTCCCAATCAATCGCGAGGGTTCCGGGCATGAGAACGCAAGTGCCGGAATCAAACAAAAGGTCCGAACGTCCGAGGACGAAAGAAAAAATGCTCCGCGGGGAACTCGTTTCATGTCGGCGTATTCGTGCCGGTTAGACGTCGGCCATGAAATCCATCACTATACCGAGCAGATCACGGGCATTCACATCCATTTCTATAGAGCAAAGGGAACTGTGCGCGATTCTCTCGTGAATCGCCTTCAGCAAGGTATGGCATTCAGGGTCTGAACCCGGGGATCAATCTTTCTTCATAGATACAAGACATTCGTTGCTGATCTAAAAAAGATCTTATCCCGTGGGCGTTAGCGGACGTTTTTCATTCTTCACCCGGTCCTTAGTAGCGTTTCTAAAGTCAACCTAACCGGTTACCCATGGAAACGCACTAAACAGGCCTATGCAATAGGTTTGCCTTTCTAATAGAAGAAGTATAATTAGATAGAAGTATATAGAATTAGCCAGATCGTCTGAAGCATGAACAGAATCGCCTTTGTTCCGAAGGCCTAGCGAGTTCCTTCTTTTTTTTTTCAAAGGCGGTCCTTTTCTTTCAGAACCTCGGACCGATGACTCGCTTGTTCAATACTGCTAACTATTATAGGAGGATGTCGTTCCCTCGGGACTACCAGTAGCTTCGGTTGTGGTTGTATTGACTGCAAGCGGAACGTAGGCGTTTTAGGTGTGTGTTGACCATGCACTCTCGCGTCATGTAATGTCGTATGTATGATAGAGGTGGTATGGTGATTGACCTCAATGCTAATGGTTATCCCCAAGGCTCAACGAATGAATGAAGCTATGATCGTACCCAGATAGAGATGATGGTCTTCCTCTGATGTCTCCAAGCCGGCCATAATAGAATAGATAGGCGAAGTAGCCAATAGCAGTCTGTTCTCGCCTATCGATAGATAGCAGGTTGCTTCCAAGCTCAAACTGAAACTGAATTGCGACTTTTTCTTGTTATTGATAGAGTGGTATTCTCCGCCCCTGTCAAATAAAGTAGAGGGAGAGAACTGGAAGAGAGAAAGAAAAAGAGCAAAGGATTTACAAGTCTAATGGGATAAAAATGGCTGACACCTTGCCCTGATTGAATTTGGCTTCGATACTAGAAATATACCCTAAGCGGTCTAAACCCCTGGGCTCGGGCGGACCCTAACCGAAAGGCGCTAGACGGACTAACGGCAAGCGATAAAGAAAGCAGCTGGCCCTATGTGTAAAACCTTGCCGCGAGAGAGCTCATATTCAAACTCCAATGAGAATAAATCAAGTTTTTGGACAAGACAAGAAAGGAACTCGCCCTTTGACACCAAGGGATAAGAGCTGATTGCTGGCGATGACTTGGTGAAGGGAATCTATGAGAGAAGGTTCTCGAACCGGGTTCTGACCGAATAGAGCGCGGAGCCAACGAGTTCAGTCGAACAACGTCACGAGTCTAAGGGCGGGATCAAGCTTGAAAGGAATGGACGGGCGTAGGCTTTATAGTGAATGCAAACCCCCCTGCTTATAGATATGAGATCAATGACTTAAAAGCCCTATATTATTAGTCAAGTGTCGAGAGAAACTGTTAGACTTCTTTATTGCGTTGCGAAGAGAGATCGAAGACGAAGATTTTCTGACCCAAACACAAGGGGGCGGGCACTGGATGGAAAAGACAGAGAAGGGAACAACCCACCGGAAGGGCATACCCCAAGGAGCACCAATCTCCCCCGGCAAACATCTATCTGCACGAAGCCGACCTATGGATAGAAAGAAAGATGCAGGAAAGGAAAATGAAATATGAAAGAAAAAGATGCTTTGGGGGTGTGAGATACGCGGACGGGGAGTACGCAGCCGAACAACCGCAGGGGCTTCCAGCAGTGATAGCTGAACTAACCAGATGGGCCGCCCAAAACTTGGAGTTGACATTTCAATCGGAAATCAACGTCGGATCCCGGCTATCCGAAAAACGCAGACTGAAGCGGAGGATCACAAAATGCAACACAACAAGGGGCGAACCAAACGCTTGCGCGAAGGAAGAAGCGAATCAATCAGAATGGAGATAGGGAGGAGAGGCGAAAGAGAGATTTTCGAGCCTGCAAGCAGCAAGCAACAACGGCTGAAAAGCCGTTGCGCACTAGCTTGTAGTTTAGGGGTATAGTAGGGGTGCTCCTTTCTCAAACTTTTCTTTCATATAAATAAGGTAAGCTTTTTGGAACCCTAGTTTTGGAGTTTTCCCCAACCTATACCTTACTAATAAATAAAAAGGGGCTTACGTTTTTCAACTGCATTGCACTGCCGCATAAACAATGGATTTGCTGGGCTGGATGAGCAACCTTCTCAGGAAAGAAATAGTGAAAAGCTTAGATAAATACACTTGGAACTGGTTGCTTACTTACTTACTTTCTTTTAGTAAGACCACTTTTTTGGTAAGCAAAATTCGATTATGATTATATAGGCATGGTTATTTACAAGACAAAAGCTAGCTTCTATATGTTCTTCGCCTGAATATATAGAAGAAGCAACCTTCTATCTGGCCTCTATACCAGTAGTGGAGTGGCTTGCTACTTTCAATCAGAAAAGGAAGATTGAGCAAGGCAAAGGAGAAAGAAGTTGTCCCCTCTTCTCTGGTAACCCGCCGCCGCATATGTAGAAAAAAAGGGAGCGGGGAAGGAAGAACAACCCTTTGACTTTGGCACATGAGGTGGCGGGTTTGGCTAGGTAACATAATGGAATTGTATTGGACTGCAAATCCTGGAATGACGGTTCGACCCGTCCTTGGCCTCGAGGAGTGGTGAGCAGCACGGAACTTGAATCAATCAAATGGCATACAGGGGGAATGGGTCGGGCCGCGTCGAGCCGAATTTTAAAACACTGGTTTGCTCAGTGATTTGAGCAAAAACCCTTGTTGGCAATGAAGAAGTCTTCTGTCTTTATTCCCTCAATTTGGGTCAAGAAAAGGGTTTCCCTTATTTTGATATAGATTTGGGTTAAAAATTGGAGATGATTTTTAAAGTTTTTTTTACTTAAATTTAAATTTGATTTTGATTTTGAGTAAGGAGTAGAAATGACCTTAAAACCCACACTTATATTGTAAAAACGTGTGTTTACTATATTTTATTTAACCGTATTTCTACAGTTAATTTTTCAATTGCAGACGAACCTCACCCCTTTAAAGAGACCTTAATGTTGTGGTTTTGAATTTTGAAATCTGATTATAAAACTTTGCTTCCACATCTGATTAAATTCTTTATTTTTATTTTTTTTGGGTCCACAACCAAAGCTGACATATAAGAAAAAGTAGTTGCTGTTTCTGGTTGAACTGAGCCAACCCAGTCCAAAAAATAGTGGAGCCTACACACTCAACGTTGCCGACTTTTGTGCATTCATCTTCCAAGAAATTATGACAAAACGCGTTAAAGTATTAGTGGGACCCCTTGGGAAAGCGAAAAAATAAAAAAAATAAAACGCGTTAAGTATAGATCATTCAAATCAAATGTTCTTAGTACATTCTCCGAAACTTCCCGGCCGACCGAACGAACTAATGGTAACTTCATGGAATCGTCCAATATGTATCTATATATATATATATATATGTATACTTTGTGATCATCAGCCAGGCAAGCATACAGAGAGACTAGAAAAGCAGAGTGCAAGAAAAAGGGAAGGAGATGGGGAGATTACAAGTGGTTGATAAGAGAGAGAAGCTGAAGAGGAGAGAGAAAGCTGAAGGAGGAGGATGTCCCTACTGCGGTGGGTTGGTTCTGGCTATGGACTACGATACCCAACTAATTGTTTTCTGTGTTCCTCTCTCTCACAAAACCAAACGCAAGTTCCTATGCACCTTGTGCTCCAGACGCCTAGTTCCCTCTTGCTAAGCTTAGTCCTAAAAGGCCTACCTAAACTAAGCTTATTATTATTGTTATAGCTCATGGAGCTCTGTCTATGCATATTTTACGTATGTACTCTGTTGAAAGTTTATCATATAACTAATAGAATTTATTGAAAAATTTACGTCACGTTTGGTTTACTTTTTGGAAATTATTTTTTGTTCTCAAAATTTTGAAAATACTTAAAACTTGTTTGTTTAGTATTTTTATTTTTTAAATTTTTAAGAAAAAATAAGATTTGAATAAAAAAAAAAACAAAAAATAAGTGTAATTAAAAATCATTAATTAATTGAGAAAATTGATTTTCAATTTGAGAAGTTTGAATCACCTCTATCTTATTAGTATAAATGAGATAGAGAGAGAAGAGAGTTAAAAAAGAGATAGGAGTCTTAAAAAATTTTGGCATGAGGACCGTCGAATTAATAATCGATAAGAAATCTGAACCGCGAAAAGCTATAGATAAAGAAATCTAACTACTATATTATATACTAGTCATTACTCATGCCTGAAGGCACTATATAGCAAACAATTTTTTTTACACAATTGTCCAAATT